GGCAAACATGGTGTTTGCCGAGTGTTCCAAAGACGACACTCGGCAAAGACACAACTCACGGCATAACAGTTTACGCTCGGCAAAGAGACTCTTTGCTGAGTGTTTTTTTTTACACTCGGCAAAGAGCTTCTTTGCCGAGTGTTTTTTTTTTGACAATCGGCAAAGAGCTTCTTTGTCGAGTGTTTTTTTGACACTCGGCAAATAAAATTTCAAAGCACATTTTAAAGCAGTAAATTAATTCAAATGAAAAAGTTTTCAACTACAAAGTTGTATAACTCATCAAGATGTACAATGTTTGTTTTGGTCTTTTCTTCATACGACAAAGTGAAAATAAATTTGTTCACAAATCTAACATATCTCTCTTGTAGTTTATGAAACTACAAGAGAGATATATAAGATTTGTAAACAATGTTAGAACTACCTTGTCGGATGAATAGATGACCAAACAACTAAAATAAACTTTGTAGATCTCGAAAAGTTATGAAACATTGTAATTGGCAACTTTTTGATTTGAAAACATCTTGTCATGCAAAACTGCGTTTGAATTTCAAAATTTTAAAATTCGAACTTTTCAAATGACCTCGGATGAAAAAACAACCAAAATAAACACTGTAGATCTCGAAAAGTTATGAAACATTATAGTTGACAACTTTTTGATTTGAAAAAATCTTGTCATGCAAAACTGTGTTTGAATTTCAAAATTTTAAAATTCAAATTTTGTAAACGACCTTGGATGGAAAAACTTCCTAAACTAAAAGTGTAGATCTCGAAAAGTTATGAAACTTTGTAGTTTACAACTTTTTGATTTGAAACATCTTGTCATGCAAAACTGTGTTTGAATTTTAAAATTTTAAAATTCAAATTTTGTAAATGACCTCGGATGGAAAAACTTACTAAACTAAAAGTGTAGATCTCGAAAAGTTACGAAACTTTGTAGTTTACAACTTTTTTATTTGAATTCGTTTAGGGCCTCAAACATGCAATTTACACTCGGTTTAGTATAATATATTGGGAACTAAAATGGAATCAAGACACAAGTGAGAGTGTGGTGTAGTGGTAGAGGAGGTACGTGCACAGCGGGAGGTCTCGGGTTCGAATCGTGTCGGCCGCGTAGCCATGAAATGCACGCGAAAAATGTCGTAGATGGGTGGGGGCCTCCATCGATAAAAAAAATTCCTTTTTTTTTGGTAAAAATTCCCATTTTTTCGGGTTTTTTTCGGTTTCAACTTTGCCGAGTGTCGGGCACTCGGCAAAGGCTTTGCTGAGTGCCCGATAAAAGACACTCGACAAAATTGGCTTTGCCGTCAATGTTTTTGGCGAGTGCTGTTCGCCGAGTGTTACACTCAACGAACCATTTGCCGAGTATTTTATGTCTTTTGCCGAGTGTTTCGGGCACTCGGCAAACTCAAGGAGTCCGGTAGTGGTTGCTGCTACACATAGGGAGTCGGACCACAATTCACTCGATGTAATAACAACTAAAGAATTAACTTGCTCAATTGCACAGCTAGACTTTGTATGTCATCATTTACTACCTCCAATGGTATTTTAGAATTATTATATTATATATTGTTATTAAGAGCATCTCTATAATTTTTGTAAAACAACACTCTAATTTAGTTTTTTTCTTGCAAAAAGAGGAAAAATCCTCTAACAGTTTTGTAAAGCAACTCCATATGGTCGGCCCTGTTTGGCCTGGCTCCATACTTTTATTTCATTATTTCCCAATATTTCAAATAATTTTACTTAACTTTTTTTTATTTATAAAGCTTTCACTTTGGTCATTATTGCATGAAAGCTTCCACTTTGGTCATGATTGCATTAAAGCTTTCAAGGTGTGCGCTACATCTTGCTTGTTTTTAGTATAATATATAACCTCCTGTGCCCGATTAAATCAGTTTCTATGAAGTTTAAAACAGATTGGTGCCACAGAAAAACAAAAAATCTACAGTACCCTTCATCATTTTTTAGTTCCAAGCTAATCGGTTTTGCCTATTAAAATTTACTACTCCACTCAATTGAACCCCATTATTTGCTCCATGAGTTAATATAACCTGCCTCTAGCAAGGCGCCTGTGTTAATCAAGATTTTCATTGGTAGGGAACTTGTGGGTCTCTGAAAATGAATTTGGCAAATAAAATAAGCTGTCAGTGTAGCTAGCGTGTTGTGCGAGCCCACTAAGCCCACCGTGGAGGTCCGTCATCTTCATCACCGAGTATGATGCCAAGATCTTGCAGGATTTGTCTCATCCTCGGGTATCGCAGGATCCGCCTAAACCTCGCCGAATCAGTGAGCTGCCAAGCCACACAGCCACGTCAACCCACCTAGATCTAGCAAGCTACCATGCCGTGCCACCATGCGAACCTATCTTGATCCACACCAAGAAACCATGCCGCGTTGCCATGCCGATCCACCTAGATTCAAACTCGGTGAGGACAGGGAGATGTTTGGACACAAAGATGAATCCTAGCTAGGGTGTACCACATCTATGTTGCTTCCTCACCGCCCTCATTGAGGTGCTCCATATCTGTGCCGCCCACCTCGAGGTAGATCTCATCCACGAGACTCGAAATCTCGATTGGTGGCCACCAGGAAAGAGAGGGTCGGCAACCACAAGGAGGCGAAGGGACAACCGCACGTCATTGAAATGCCTTCGGTCCACAACCCAGTTGGGCCGTGGGCTGATAAGAGGGCGGTGAGAGAAAAGGCCCTCCACTAGATCTGCCCTTGGCCACCCCCCCCGGATCATGGTGGCGAGAGAGAAAGGGCTGGCCACGCTGCATGGGCCTTCTAGATCTTCCTTCACCCTTGGTTGTTTGCGCTCACCGTGCCTCGCATCTCAGCCACTCCCAGGTCACGCCTCTCGCTTGGCGACTCCCCCCCCCTCACACCAAGGCCATGCCTTGCTCCTCGCCACACTCCGCCATGCCACACCTTGCAAGCGGAGAGAAGAGGAGGGTGGGTGTTGTTGTGGGAAGAAGAAGAAGAAGAAGAGGAGGGATGTCATGTGTGGGGAGAAGACGGAGGCGACTATGGGGAGATGGACTATTGAGGTAGGGTTGTCTATCCTTCCTTATATATCTGAGGAGTTAAAATGGGTTGTTGGGCTGCACCTCAATTGACAAAAGCTCTCTTAAGAGTTCTGCTTTGGAAAATGACTTCCATTCTTAGAGGCAGACCTCTCCCAAGTACATTAATTGATTTACAATGGTGGGGTGCCTCAAAAAATGGTTGGTCTCCCTCAGTAAATAAAATGGCATGCCTCCTAAAATTGGTTTTGTGCTAGTGAATGTGGGTTTGACTTCCAAGAGTGCGCTCTAGTGCCTTTGAGGAAAAATAAATGTGATACTGATTAAGCTTAATCTAAGACAAGTTCTTAGCCCGAGAGTTAATTTAAGAGGAGCATTATATATATGTCTATTTTGTACAACTTCACTCCCTAATTTTTAGCTCTAGCTTCTAATTCTCCACTACTATAGCAGGCCAATCATAGTTGGTTCGAAAACCCCCATCACCGCCGATTTTGGGCCTAGGCAGTGAATTGTTGACGGTGATGATCAAGGTCATCACCGCCAGTTCATAACCAGCTGTGATATGATGCTAACACCACTTCATTGGCATATACTCCATCAGTGTATAGGTCATGATCACCGTTGCCTTGATGCATGAGCAGTCTATGTCCTGGTCATGTTCACCATTGCTTTGGCGGGCGATCCGTCTGTGTCGAGGTCATGATCATCGTCACTTTGGAGTACAATACACCTGTGATGATCCTATAATTGGTGTCGGTTTACTAAATGACTCGGCGGTGATGATGTTTTGATCCCCACCCCATCGTATGTTACACCTGTTGCGTTGATGATTGGTTCACCATCATGGTACAATCCGACGGTGACGAGAAGTTTTATGACCAACGATGAGTGGTATGATGCGGCGGTGATGAGCAAATGATAAATGGTGGTTCTATGCATAACCGACGCATGATGATGGAATGGTCTTGAGTTTTCACAATATATTTGTTAATTCAGATGGACCTCAATAGCTTACTGAACACACCATACATATATAATCATTAAATCCATACATCATATCCACAAACAAGTGTACTTTTAACAATAACAATCCACGCTAACATATCAAGTGTGTAAATTGATGTACTAACACAAGCTGCCATTTGATTACATGATAAGGCACGGATATCTACAAACTTACATAACAAAAACGAGCTAGTTATGCTCTTGCTATGTGCCACTAGTACCTGCAAAGCAAGGTAAATATAATTAGTGCATCCTTCGGATTTGTGGTAGCCAATCCACCATACAACCCCTCCTCCTGATCTCTGAAATAATCCTTACCAGAGACTTGTTTTTGGGCTCCTGGCACAATATTATTCAATTCGGAGCCATAGCAGGAAATTTGTTACAAAGCAGGAGATTTAATAATATTCAACACACCATTTTTTTTTTGTTACTAAGCCAAAATTAGCCTATATATAGAATAAAAAGAACTGTCTACCAAGAAAAACACATGTCGTAACAACAAGATACAACAATTGTAGCTTTTCTACTCTGCTAATGACTTGATTATAGACAATATAGCTAGTGACCATTGCTAGCAATTATATACTCTCTCCGTTTCGAATTATAAGTCGTTTTGGTTCTTTTAAATACATGGTTTTTGCTATGCATCTAAATATATACTTTATTTGTAGACACATATATAGTAAATCTATGAATCTAGAGAAGACAAAACGATTTACAATTTCGAATAGAGGGAGTAGTAATTTTGATAGATTGTTCACCATAGTTTCTATAGTGTCTACATAATGCTTTTTCTCGGTCAACTGAACATGGATACATTATTAATTAATTTCCGATTACCATATCTCTCCAGGAATTTTGGCCGGAGTTTTGGTTGCCCTGATTGCTTCTCTTTCCACCGAAGTTTTCCGCCAGAAGGCGAGCCAGAAAAGACAAGGCTACTTTGAGCAACACGGAGGCCGGATGTTGTTGCGAATTCTCGAAACAGATAACAACATCGCCTTCACCTTATACGACAGAGGAGACCTAGTGAAGGCCACACGTGGCTTTCACAAGGCCAACATCGTCGGGGAAGGAGCACATGGCACCGTCTACAAGGCCACCCTCGGCACTGACACTGTCGCGGTGAAGCGATGCAAGCAGATCGAGAAGAGCAGGACGGATGAGTTCGTCCAGGAGCTGGTCGTGCTCTGCCGCGTCAACCACCCAAACATCGTCAGGCTCCTCGGTTGCTGCCTCCATTTCGAGGCGCCCATGCTCGTGTACGAGTTCGAGCCCAACGGGACCCTGAGCGATCTGCTCCACGGCAGGCCTCGGCGCCGGGTGGTGACGCTGCCAACCCGGCTGAGGATCGCCGCGGAGACCGCGGAGGCCCTCAAGCACCTGCACTCGCCGCCGCACCCGACGCTCCACGGCGACGTCAAGCCGCAGAACATTCTGCTCGGCGACGGATGGGTCGCTAAGGTGTCCGACTTTGGGTGCTCAACTATCAACGACAACGTGCAGGTGGTGCCCAAGGGCACGCTGGCCTACCTTGACCCTGAATTTCTACAGGACTTCCAGATAACCGAGAAGACCGACGTCTACAGCTTCGGGGTCGTGCTGATTGAGCTCTTGACTGGTAAGAACCCACAGGCCAAAAAATGGAAGAACCTGACCACAACGTTTCAGGACAGGATGGGAAATGGCACCCTTGGTGATCTTCTAGACGCTGACATAGTCGAGGAAGGGAGCATGGGACTGATATATGCAGCTGCCAAGCTAGTGAGCCGATGCATCGCTGCTCCGGGTAATGCAAGGCCGGCCATGAGACAGGTCGCTGTGGAGCTTCGGCAATTTTCGGATGAAATGCCGGAAAGCCCTGAGGCGCGAGCGGCTCTCGAGGTTGAGGATGGCAGGTATAGCTACACTGCTACTGAGGGTGAAACTACTGGATTTTCTAATCTTCCTGCAGTGAGCACAGAACTCGCCCGATGATTTGGAACGGAGAGTTTATTGCTAAAGCCTACGTTAATTGTGTCATTATTTGGCACAGTCGCGTCCTGTTATATGTCTTTTCTGTGTTTGTTACAGCAGTTCATGTAATGCTTGGTGCACCGTCCTCCGTCCATATATCTAATGACAATGATGGAAACGGCCACCAAAAATGTAATAATCTGCATCACATTTGCCTGCAGACAGTTATGGATGACGACTTCCCATCAATCAGAGCTTCTTTGTACAATTGATAGAATATAACCCTACACGCGCATCGTACACGGATTAGATATACAACTTGGCACATAACAATCACTACAGGAAATGCGTGCTTTGCCGAGGGCCTGAGGCTTTGCCGAGGGCCAAATCTCGGGCACTCGGCAAAGACACTCTTTGCCGAGGACCAGCCACAGGAGCCCTCAGCAAAGAACGGCCCTCGGCAAAGACAGGCCCATAGCAAATCAAATCTTTGCCGAGGGGGCCCTCGGCAAATTAGGCCCGTTGGGTCACGGCGGCCATTCCCGTCAAGCTTTGCCGAGGGCCACCCGTTAGGCCCTCGGCAAAGGTTTTTTTTCCTGTGAAACCAGTTTTTTGGTAAATTTTTTTTTTAAAAAAAAGTCTTTGCCGAGGGCCCTAGACCAGGCCCTCAGCAAAGATTTTTTTTTAACCAGTTTTTCGGCCAAATTTTTTTTTATAAATCGTCTTTGCCAAGGGCCCGAGGCGAGGCCCTCGGCAAAGATTTGTTTTTTGGTTTTTTTAGCCTAGTTTTTTTGTGGTGCTACAATACATTGTTTTGAACTCAATTTTAAAATTTAGGCCAATTTTGACTTTTTTTTTGTATATTTCCTTAATTTATTTCGATTCTTTGATTTTTTTTGAATATGTCAAATTTGAACTGCAGGTGCATGGAATATTGCAATGTAGTGTTTCTAAAAATGTTATTCATGTTAATTGGTGCATGTTGAGTCCCTATCCACGAACTCGCATCAAATTTCGTGCATCTTCTTTGCGTAACATGACGACCGACTTGCCGGAAAAGTGTTTTAAAATCATATAAAATCCATACGAAGTCCGAAAATCACGAAACTTGGCGAGATGTCATGTTATCGCATGTGTAGGCTGTGGTAAAAAATTGAGAAGGTTTCGAGCAAGTTGTGACGTCGGATGCCTAATACCCAGACATCTCCACATGTGATCGCATGTGATCACATGTGGAGATGTCTGGGTATTGGGCATCCGACGTCACAACTTGCTCGAAACCTTCTCAATTTTTTACCACAGCCTACACATGTGATAACATGACACCTAAACAAGTTTCGTGATTTTTGGACTTCGTATGGATTTTATATAATTTAAAAACACTTTTCCGACAAGTTCCTCGTCATGTTACGTGAAGAAGATGCCTGAAATTTGATACGAGTTCGTGGATAGGGAATCAACATACACCAAATACCATGAATAATATTTTTCGAATCACTAAATTGCATTATTCCATCCACCTGCAGTTCAAATTTGAAATATTCGAAAAAAATCAACGAAAAGAAATAAATTAGGGAAATATATAAAAAAAATCAAAATTGGCCCAAATTTTAAAATTGAGTTTTAAATAATGTATTATAGCACCACAAAAAAACTGGGTTTAAAAAACAAAAAAAAAATTGCCGAGGGCCTAGCCTGGCCCTCGGCAAAGGGGATCTTTGCCGAGGGCCTGGCCAATGGCCCTCGGCAAAGAATTTTTTTTTTTAAAAAAAATCTTTGCCGAGGGCCCTGGATCTGGGCCCTCGGCAAAGGGCCCAACCCTAAATCGGCCAGCGGGCCAAAATCGCTTCATTCCGCCGCTGCTGACCCGTGCCATGGCAAGCGCCGCCGCCGCGCTACTGGCCGCTTCAACCGCCTCTCTGGTCGCGCCGGGCGCCGGGCGCCGTCGGGCGACTCCTTCAAGGCTCGGACTCCTCGGTGGTGGCCTCGATGATGGCTCCGTCGCCGTGTGGAACCAGCCGAGCATGATCAGGTCCGGATCCGCCTCCCTCGCCCGGGCCGCACTTGAGATCTGCTCCCGTTCGATCAATTGCATCATTGTTTCAGCTCCGAGGGGAAAGCGGAGGACGCCATGGTCGCGTGTCTAGATAAGCACACCGGGCACGTGAGTCGCGCGGGGCTGGCTAGTTAGTTTTACGCGCTGGCGTTCGACGGGTTGGCGTCGTGTGCTGATTGCGTTTGTGTTCGGTCCGCCGAGTTTGTGGACTGGAGTTGAGTGAGCTCACGCCCGAATAGGCTCGCTTCAGGGGCTGAGCACGGGAGCTTTGCATCTGGGATCTCAAGAACCCTGTTGAGCCAATTGTGTACCCACCACTCAAGGTACTTGCAATTTTGTACAGAGCTTATTGTCATACAAGAGGATTAAGGATTTGCCCGATTGGTTAATGGTTATTCATGAGATGCATGGTTTCTGCTACTCACGGCTTGTAATGATTCAGTGGTGCTTTTTATTCCATGGTAAACATGATGCCATCTTGCGTGCTTACGGTGACCCTAGCATGATTTTTGTCATTCCAGACCGAGATGTTTTGAGTTATATGTAGTAGCATTCTCATTTTTAATTTTCATTCAGTATGAGCAGAACTGGCTACACTATTTGATGCAGGGATAAAACTGAGGGACTTTAGACTGATTGTGCAAGATTATAGTTGTCCTTTATGATCTGGATGTTTGCGCCTGTGCTACACTAGTCCGTTGAATGCAAACAAAGTTTTTACCCTGTAGAGTCCTTTATGTTATCTTACCGCGTTTCCATGCTTGTTCTTTCATATGATCGATGTGGGTTGCTGTTAATGAAAAAATAAAGTTGAGGTTTAGGGCATGTGACATAGTTGTAAAGCAGGATGTGTTTGGATATTTCAGTTATGTCACTATGGTCTGGCTACATTCTTCTGTTCAACCTTTTATAGCATGTAATCATTTTTTAAAGTATAATAATTTTAACAGAGTGTTGGGTCCCATGCGCAAGCTGAAATCTCTTGTTTATCCTGGAATCCCAAGTTCCAACATATAGTTGCCTCAACTTCGAGTAATGGGATGACAGGTAAATTAAATTTTGGTTGATTCTGCAAAAGTTTAGCTATCAGTTACCATCACTTGGACTTCTGATCATTCTGTCCGACTAATTTTGTTTCCCTGCAGTTGTTTGCGATTTAAGGAATCAGAAACCACTGATTTGCTAATCCCAGGGCACAACCTAGAGGATCTCCTTTTTAAGAATTTCTTTGGCCGGAGGTTTCCCACCTGGCTAGGTACTGCTACCCATTTTCCTTCACTGACATATTTGAACCTCATAGATTGCAAATCATGTATGCATCTTCCACCAATCGGTCAGCTCCCCAACTTGAAATATCTGAGAATCCAGGAAGCCACTGCAGTCACCAAGATTGGACCCGAATTTGTTGGCTCTGTGGTGGGTAATCTCAGATCTCCAGAGGCAGTAGCTTTCCCCAAGCCTTGAAACATTGGTCATCTGGGATATGCCCAACTGGGAGGAGTGGTCCTTTGTTGCTGAAGAAGAACAAGAAGAAACAACAGCAGGTACGGAAGGGGGAGAGGATGAGGCTGCTGCAAATCAAAAGGAGGAAGCGCCGCCTCCAAGGATGCAGCTGCTGCCACGACTGAAGGAGTTGGAGCTTGACCGCTGCCCCAAGCTGAGAGCTCTCCCACAGCAGCTTGGACAGCAGGCCACCAGCTTGAAGGAGCTCCGATTAAGCGATGTGAACAGCCTTAATGTGGTGGAGAACCTCGGTTTCCTCTCAGAGGTCCTTGTAATCGTAGATTGTGAAGGCCTAGAGAGGGTCTCAAATATTCCCCAGGTGAGACAGCTGCGTGTACAGCTGTGTCCCAACCTGTGGTGTGTTGAGTACCAGGTGACTAATATATTGTGATTTGTGGTTCACAATTATGGTTGTGATATATTGTGAGAAAATAGGTTCTGTGTGATATATATATGTGATGGTTGATATATATATATATATGAAATGCTTGTGTCGATGGAATGCAAAAAACAAAAAATAAATTCTGCCTCTTTGCCGAGGGCAATGACCAAGGCCCTCGGCAAAGAAGGGTCCTTTGCCGAGGGCCGTCCCATTGCCCTCGGTAAAGATTCGTTGGAAAAATTCTGGAACATTTCTTTGCCGAGGGCCATAGTTGGAGGCCCTCGGCAAAGACTTTTTTAAAAAAAATTAAAATTTCTTTGCCGAGGGCCTGCGGGGAAGCCCTCGGTAAAGATTTTTCAAAAAAAAAGAATAATCCTTTGCCGAGGGCCGTCCCATTGCCCTCGGCAAAGAATTTTTGGAAAAATTCTGCAACATTTCTTTGCCGAGGGCCATGATTGGAGGCCCTCGGCAAAGATATTTTTTTAAAAAAAGAATAATTCTTTGCCGAGGGCCCCCGGAGACGGCCCTCGGCAAAGACTCCGTCCCAGGCGCCGGCGCCGTGACGGCTGCTTTTCTTTGTCGAGTGCCGGTTCAGCCCTCGGCAAAGGCTTTGCCGAGTGCCTGATAAAGGGCCCTCGGCAAAGACCCTCTTCGCCGACTCAAAATTCCCCGAGAGCTCTTTGCCGAGGGCCGCCCTCGGCAAAGCCTTTGCCGAGGGTTAATGGGCCTTTGCTGAGGGCCTCAGGCCCTCGGCAAAGAGGCCGTCTCCAGTAGTGAATTATATATTGTTGAGATATACTCTAGATAGTCTGATAGCTCTGGACCTGCTAGTTTCATACATCGAGTATAATATTGTTTGGATGATGCCTCCGCTAGCGCCATCGTTTGAGTAATAAACGCCTTGTATCCTGGGCAGCAACGTTTACCCCTCGTCGAGCCACAATCGAGATGAACGAGTGACACCAGATTACCTGTCGTCGAGTACCCAGCTCCATAGTTCCAGCTGGGAGCACGCCTTAAACGACCCGTCAAATATCGACCAGCAAACTTGTCCGACTCAATCGCCCACTTTTCGTGGTCTTCAAGGGCACGCTCGCAAATTCGACTAAGAGCAACTCGAAGAGACTCTTCATATCCTTACTAATTGCTAAGAATAGAGGTTTGATGAAAGAAATATCCCCCAAAAGGTCTTTATTTGTTATCCCAATATACCTAGAGAATTTTCTATTTTGGATTTCGCACTAGCCAAATATAGAAAACAAGAATGACTCTCTAGAGTGAATACATAGTATAGAAAGACGGTTAGAGAGCAGAAAGATATAGAAAGCGATTATTATGCAAATGACTCTACCAATGATGATTTAAAGAGTAAGCTTTATAAAGTTTCTCAAAGCTAAGAGCTAGTTGAGTTTTCCAGATGCACGCGCATCACCCATAGTTTGTAGTTATACTTAGTTCTATTTTAGTGTAGTTTATAGTTGTCAATTAACTTTCTTAAGACAAACAATTACATTGCCTTGAAAAAACAACTGCAACAAAATAAAAGACACAGTTACAGCATGAGTTACTACTCAATTATTACTTTGTGTAGTTTGTAGTTATAAATTTGAGACACATTTAACTTATTCACTACTCAGTTACAGCAGATACTACTCCCTTATTCACTAGCTGGAGACACATCTGAGACGTCCTCCATCATCACAGTTCACACATCGGATCCATGTTTCCATCGATATGATCCTGTCTCACCGTCACACACACGAGCATATCAAGAACGAGACGATGACATCTAATGTGTTCACGGCTTGGTGTAGATGGCGACGTTCCTCCAGCGCGACTCCATGCGGTGCGACGGATCGTGCTGCTTGTACACGCCAAACTTGAAGTAGTGCTCCTTCCCGCCTTGGCCGGGGGCAGCCAGCCTCCTCTCGCCGTCGACGAACACGGTGACGTTCGCGGCCGCGACGTCGTGGATGACGTTGAGCCGGATCCACCGGTCGTAGACGCGGTCCGCCACCACCTTGGTCAGCTGGTGGTAGTAGGTGAGCCGGCCGTCGTAGACATGCAGCATCAGCGTGGTGGCGTGCGTTGCCGCGCCGAAGACCTGCATCACCGACGCGCCCGACGTGCCCGACGGCACGTACATGTCACCCTCGAACTGCCACACCCCGGTGCTGTAGATCTTCTGCAGAACTCATGCAGAGTTAGTATAGGAAGAAGACCTGGAATATGGTCGTGAACAAGTCATGCCATTGTCACGTACGTCGACTTTGATCTAGGTGCGCGCGCCGCTGGGGTGGTTGGCGCTGCCGGGCTTGTCGGTAGCGAAGACCCACATGCGGCGGACGCCGCCGGACTGCTCGTACGGCTCGTGGAGCGGCACGTCGTAGGGCTTCTGCACCACGAACTGCGACTCGCTCAGCTTGACACGGCTGAAGCCTGCGGTCAGGTGATGAGACTAGCCGGCGTTGGCGAGGTAGGCCAACGACAGCGCCGCTGTCACTACGTGAAAAACGGTTTGTAGCAATAGGATAATTTTTTTTGTAGGAGCGACTGGTGATGGAGCCGCCCCTACAGTGATATGCCTGGGAGCCCAGAGACCAGCCACTCCTACAAATAGAACAACAGGAACAGTTGGTGATATGAGCCACCCCTACAAATAGGTCTGATTTGTAGGGGTGACTCACTCACCAGCCGCCCCCAGTGTTTCTATTTGTAGGGGCGGCTGGTGATTGAACCACCCTAATAAATGCCCTGCGTATAATTACCTGCTATTTGTAGGAGCGGCTCAATCACCAGCCGTCCCAATAAATGACCCACATATATAAAAACTGTAGCACCTTCTTCCTCCTCGGGTCACTCACTCCAACCCGTGAAAGAAAGGTGGGGGCCTTGGGTACCTCCTAAAAATTGCTCTACTAAGGGGAGAAGGTTTTGATCTCAAATTTTTTGGTGGAGAGGTTGTAGAAGGTAAGAAAAGGCTATTCCATCCTTTTTTTTGAAGTTTTAATGGTTGGTTAGTGAGTAATTAGAGTTTTGTTTTTCTCTCTCTTTTATGGTGCTTGAGCTACTTATGAAACAAATTAGACCTAAGTTTTGAATGTACTAGGGTAAATTAGGTAGAGGAACAAGATCATACCCTTATTTGGTCCATGTTTCTTGATTTTAGTAAACAATTAGTTAGTTTTATGGATGTTTCATGTGCACGTAGATCTAGATCTAGGGTTTTGTTTTTCTATTAATTTCGTTTTTGTAAATTTGTGTTTGATGAAATTAGACTAGGGTTTGCATAAAAGATATTGGGTAAAATATAATTGTTGCTAATTGTTGTCTTTGAAATTGTTTATTGTAATCAACAAATATGTATTTTAATTATTTATGGATAAATAGGCCATTAATTAATTTTCCTCTACCATGGTGTGTTTGTATGCTTCATATAATTATATTTGATTTATATTCATATATATATATCTAAAGTATATATAATTATTCTCAAGTAATTATTAATTTGATTCATTTTTATATATATCTGAATAAGTAGTCATTTAATGTTTGTTTTGTTGTTGTTGTCAAAGATGGAGTATAGGAACTCTTGGATGTATGGTTCGTTAAGGTTCATGGCAGATTTCCGTGAAGAGGTGGATAAATTTATTGAAGTTGCAAAGAAGCATGCAACGACATTGATAGAGAATAAGGATATAATTATTTGTCCCTGTAAAGATTGTAAGAACCGTATGGCATGGACAGATGTGACTATCATCAGATCATATTTGATTATGCGAGGATTTGTTGAGGACTACACAGTGTAGATTCATCATGGTGAAACGGTTATTGTTAACGACGAGGATGATGAGGAATACGACGACGAAACCCTAGAATCTGTGTCCCAATATTCAGCAGAGCTTGATGCACGAATGGATTTCGAGTTTGGCAATGAACAAGGTGGTGATGCTGGTGGTTGAGATGGTAACGACGAAGGTGGTGTCAATAATGATGGTGGAGCACGTGTCGGGGATGAAGATGATTTGGAGGACATGATTCGAGCCATTGGACCAGAGATTTTACTAAATAGCCCGAAAGGTCTAGAAAATTTGGAAAGGGTGACAAAAGCATCGAAGGAGACTGTGTATGGTGTTGAAAAGAGTTGTCCGACACATTAGACATTGCTACGTTTTATGCTTGAGCTGCTCATCCTGAAGGCTAAGTACGGCTGGTCAGACTGTAGTTTCAATGATCTATTGCATCTCCTGTCATGGGTGCTGTCGTAACCAAACTCAGTTCCCGCCAACACATACCAAGCGAAGAAGGTCATAAGTCCATTGACAATGGGGGGTTGAAAAAATCCATGCATGCCCCAACCACTGTATACTTTTTTGTGGCGAAACGTTCAAGTCACCGGATAAATGTCCTCGATGTGGGGCCAGCCGATACAAGAACAATGACCTTTACGGTAGGGACAAAGCCTCTACGGGGAAAAGAGGAATAAGAAGGGTATAAAAAAGGTGGTACAAGAATCTCAGCCCCCAGAGGACACTCTATTAGGCAACGATACAAAGAAGAAAAGAATTCCTACCTTGGTAATGTGGTACCTGCCAGTGACCGACCGCTTGAGATGTATCTTCCTAAACCCTAAAGAAGCCGCACTCATGACATGGTGGGATGATGAGCGCAAGGTGGATGATGGTAAGATTGCACACCCGGCTGATTATAGTCAGTGGCAAAGGTTCGATGAGAAGCACAAAGAATTTAGCGATGACCCAAGGAATGTACGATTTGGCTTGAGCACCGATGGAATGAATCCCTTTAATGAGAGGATGAGCGACCACAGCACTTGGCCAGTGATCTTGATCATGTACAACATCCCAACGTGGTTGTGTCAGAAGAAAAAGTACATTCTCCTCACTATTCTTATTTCTGGCCCTAAACAACCAAGCATAGATATAGACGTATTCCTCGAGCTTTTGATGCAAGAAATGGAGAGGCTATGGAGGCATGGGGAGCAGATGTACGATGCGTTCCGAAAGGAGGACTTCATATGTAGAGCAATAATATTTGTTACTACCAATGATTATCCCATGCTGTTTGCTTTGTCTGGATAGATCAAAGGGAAGACGGGATGCTTGGTTTGCTTGGATGGTATTACATGGGTGTACCTGGATGCATACAAGAAGATAGATTACCTAAGGTGCTGACGTTTCTTAAAGACAAGTCACAAGTACCGCAGCAAATTGTTCTTTAGATTTTATGACAACACCCCGGAGACTGAACCCCCTCCAGAGAGACGTCATAACGGAGAACACATGTATAGAATGGTGAAAAACATACACGTCGTCTATGGAAAGAAGAATCTGGATGGGACGAATAGAGATAGAAGCACACCTCCTGTCAAAGGCGTACCTTTCAAGAAACAATCGATCTTCTTTCAGTATCTGCCTTATTGGCCAGACTTAGAGGTCCCCCATGCCATTGATGCTATGCACGTGTAGAAGAATGTCTTTTAGAGTCTCATTGCTACGTTGATGGACACAGGCAAATCAAAGGATGGTCTAAAAGCACGAAAAGACTTGGAGGGCATGATTTTAGAAAATTTTAGGAAAAAAAACCATCACATTTGGAGTTAGTATGAGGGAGAAAAATTAGTTATAAGTTTCAGCCACATATTAAAAAGAGAAATCACACTTGTTTATCATTGATCTTCATGAACAGTTGTGATTTTTCTTTTTAATCTATGGGTAAAATTTGTAACTAGTCTTTCTCTCTCATACTAACTCCAAATATGATGATTTTTTTTCCAAAAATTTTCTAAAATAATGCCCTATCAAGTTACTGTAGTGATTTGATCATTCTTTTCATTTGACAAAGTTTGAGCAATTCAAATTTTTAAATTTAAAAAATAACAAGTTCTAACGGGATTTTCAACCATTAAATGATTTCAGCTGAAAAAGTGATGAATGCCAAGGTTGTATAATTCATTAAGATTTACAACTTTTATTTTGGTCATTTCTTTATTTGATAAAGTGATAGTAAATATTGTTCACAAATCAACATGTCTCTCGTATAGTTCATGAAACTATGAGTCATATGTGAATTTGTGAACAATGTTTACTCATACTTTAGCACATGAAGAAGTGACCAAAATAAAAGTTATAGATAGTGATGAGTTCAACAACTTTTATGTTCACGACTTTTATTGTTGAAATCATTTAAGATTTCAAAATCTTATTTGAAGTTGTCATTTATTGAAATTTAAAATTTCAACTATTCAAATTTGGTCAAATGAAAAGATGATGAAAATAAAAGTTGTACATATTGATGAGTTCTACAACTTTGGTATTCATGAGTTTTTCAGTTGAAATCATTTACTCTTTCAAAATATTGTTTTAAGTTGAAATTGTTTGAATTTCAAATTTTGAATCGTTCAAACAAAGTCACATGACAAGATGTCCAAAATAAAAGTTGTACATGTTGATGAGTTATACAACTTTTATGTTTATAATATTTTCATTTTAGTTCATTTAATGTCCTAAAATTGTAGTCGAAGTTTTAAAATTCAAATTTTTAATTTTTTTGTTTGTTTTCTATATTGTTTTGACTATAATTGTTTTTATATATATTTGTGCATATATAGAATAATATAAAATATTATATACATTTACTTTGTGTTTTTGTGATATAAAAAATATAGAATTAATAGTTTAATAAAATGAAAAATATTTGTAGGGGCGGCTAGATCAAGAACCGCCCCTACAAATGCATTTGTAGGGGCGGCTGGATCAGGAACCGCACCTACAAATTCATTTGTAGGGGCGGTTGGATCAGGAACCGCCCCTACAAAGTGTCCTGGGTATATAAGCACGGGCGCTCGGATGAACAAGTGTTGGGCGCTCTCTTCTTCCTCCCGACGCCGTCAGGCTGCCCAACTTTCCCCCCGGCGCCCACGGTGCTCCCGCTAGGGTTTTAGAGCCCGAGCGCCTCGCTCCGTGCCGCCAGCCCCACTGCCTCGCGCCGCTGCGCCCCTCTCCACGCCGCCTCTCTGCTCCCGCGCTGCGCCCCTCCGCACGCCGCCGCAGTCGCCCGCGCTGACGGGGCCTCCGCCCGAGTTCGTGGAGCACCAGCAGGCGCAGAAGGTGAAGAACTACGTCAATC